GCCCCAATCATTGCAAGTCTAAATGTAAGAAAAAAGTGCATGCCGTGTCACAGTCTGACCGCTTAGATGACGATATTGATGACAGATGGCTCAAGGCTGTCAATCAGGAAGGAAATAACGTTACTGCAACGCTCACAGTGAATAACCTTGACGTTAAGTTCCAACTTGACAGCGCCGCAGACGTGAATACCATATGTCAAAAACATGTTAGAAAGCAGCAAGTATCACCTACAAGAGTACGTCTTCACATGTGGAACAAGACTGATCTGAAACCATTAGGCGAAACCCACTTATGCATTACAAACCGCAGTTACAACACTCGACATCAAGTCAAATTTGTCGTAGTACCCAATGGCTTCACCAACCTCCTTGGTCTAGAGACCACCCTGGAACTTGGTTTTATTACCATAAACAGTGGTTCATTTATCTCTAGAGTCACAACTCCTCAACTAGGTGACTTGGGAGAAGCAACACTCAGATTAGACGAGACCGTTCCACAAAAAGTGCTCCCGTGCAGAAAGATCCCTTTAGCCATTCAAGATGACGTGAAAAAAGAGCTAGACCGACTCTTAGTTACCATATGCGTGTTTGAATCTTTAAGCTTTATACGTTAGATTAAGAGTTTCAACTTATGTAATATCATTATTGGAGTGCGTTGTAATATGAAATTTTTACCATTGTGTATATATAAATCATTGTAACTGTGATGACCGAGGCAAGCATTATAAACCAAAGCCGGGGAGAACAAGACTAAAATATCTGTGCTACTAACGGATCGAGCGCTTCGTTAAAGTCACCAGCTTAAATACAATAAACAATATTCAAATTTTGTCAATAGTTCCTTTTTTTCGATCCTTCCTCCATAGTTCACCACATCCAGTAAATTGCACACAAGAACATAGCTTGGGCTGCCTTATACGGTGGCCGATTAGGACAAAACGATATTACAAGTCTCAAAACAAGTTAGCATGTATCAAAACAAGTTAGCAAGTATCAAAACAAGTTAGCAAGTATCAAAACAAGTTAACAAGTATCAAAACAAGTTAACAAGTATCAAAACAAGTTAACAAGTATCAAAACAAGTTAACAAGTA